ACTGTTCCAACTATTTCTGGACATAAATATTTTATTATTTTTATTGATGACTTTTCTAGGTATACTTATGTGTATCTTATTCGTGAAAAATCAGAAACACTGGATATGTTCAAACTCTATAAAGCTGAAGTTAAAAATCAACTTGGCAGATAGATTAAAAGTGTAAGATTTGATAGAGGTGATGAATATTATAGTAGAATCACTGAGTCGGGTCAAAATCCAAGTGTTTTTGCTTTTTTTGTGGCTGAGAATGGTATTGTTGCTAACTACACAATGCCTGGTACATCTAAGCAAAATGGTGTAGCTGAGACACGAAACCGTACTCTTTTGGACATGATGAGAAGCATGATGAGTAACTTTTCTTTGCTAGATTACTTGTGGGGTGAAGCTTTAAAAACTGTTGTATATGTTCTTAATAGGGTTCTTAGTAAGGTTGTGCCTGTAACTCCTTATGAGTTGTGGGTTGGTAAGAAACCTAATTTGAATTATTTGCATGTATGGGGTTGTCCTGTTGAAGAGCAAAAATTGTTAGCCCGCAAATAAAGAAATTAGACCCTAGAATTTTAAGTTGTTTTTTCATTGGATATCTTGACAGATCATAGGGTTTTAGATTCTATTGTCCCACTCATAGCACAAGAATTATTGAAACTAGAAATACTGTGTTCTTAGAGGATGAAAACATTAGTGGGAGTATGAATCTCAAAAATGTTTCTTTAAAGGAAAATCGTGCTTTTACGCTTTCCATGATTATCCAAGAAAATGCAGTACCTGAACCTATTGGTACTCAAGAGATTTTTCACATTGAAAAAGAAGTTGTCCCAGTTGCAGAACAACATTTACGTAGATCACAAAGAGAAAAGAAACCAGCCATATCAGATGACTATGAGGTTTACCTAAATGAGTGTGATATAGGCTTGGAGAACGATCCTGTTTCTTATGCTCAAGCCATGAATAATGGAAATTCAACTCGATGGTTAAATGCCATGAAAGATGAGTTAAAATCTATGAAAGACAACAATGTCTGGGATCTTGTAGAATTGCCTAAGGGAGCCAAAACTGTTGGATGCAAATGGGTTTTTAAAACCAAGCGTGATCCTAAATGCAATGTCGAAAGATCTAAAGCCAGATTAGTTGTTAACGGATACACTTAAAGAGAAGGGATAGACTATAAGGAAACTTATTCTCCTATTTCTAATAAGGATTCCTTAAGAATTGGCATGGCCTTAGTAGCTCATTATGATTTAGAGTTATATCAAATGGACGTTAAAATAGCCTTTTTAAATGGTGACTTGCATGAAGTGGTCTACATGGCCAACCTGAAGGTTTTCAGGATGAAAGTAAGGAAAATATGGTTTGTAGGCTTAAGAAGTCCATTATGGTCTAAAGCAGGCATTTCGACAATGGTATCTTAAATTTCATGAAGTTCTCGTCAAATTTGATTTTAAGGATAATGTGGTTGATCAATGTGTCTACCTTAAAATCAGTGGGAGCAATATCTGCATTATAGTTTTGTATGTTGATGATATATTGGTTGGTAGCAATAATTTGGGAATGATACATGAGACAAAGAAATTCCTTACGAGAAATTTTGAAATGAAAGATCTTGGTGAAGCCTTTTTTGTCAGTGGGATAGAAATTCACCGAGATAGGTCTCGTGGTATTTTAGGATTTTCCAAAAAAGCCTATATAGAAAAGGTTCTTAAGAGGTTCAACATGCAGAACTATTCAAGTAGTGTTGCCCTTATAGTTAAGGGTGATAAATTTAGTGAATTTCAGTGTCCCATAAATAATTTAGAAAAGGAACAAATGAAAGAAATTTCTTATGCCTCTGCAGTTGGGAGCATTATGTATGCTCAAGTTTGTACACGTCCAGACATAGCATTTGTGGTTGGTATGCTTGGTCGATACCAAAATAATCTCGGACTTGATCATTGGAAGGCAATTAAGAAAGTGTTGCGATATTTACAAGGCACTAAGGATTACATGCTCATTTATCAAAGAACAGACAGCCTTGAAGTAATTGGTTATTCAGATACTGATTATGCTGGATGTAAAGACACTCGAAAGTCCACTTCTGGGTATATTTTTATGCTTGCTAATGGACTCATTTCATGGAGGAGTCATAAGCAGTCTCTGACAGCCTCTTCCACTATAGAGGCAAAGTTCATAGCATGTTATGAAGCCACATGTCATGCAGTATGGTTAAAGAATTTCATATCTAGATTTCAACTTATTGATTCAATTTCGAGGCCCTTACAGATTTACTATGATAATGATGCTGCTATTTGGTTCTCCAATAATAACAAAACTTTAGGAGGATCAAAGCATATTGATATCAAGTATCTAGTTGTTAAAGAAAGGGTTTTGAATCAGACTGTTTTTATCTCTCATATTGGCACTACACTTATGTTGGCAGATCCTTTAACTAAAGGTCTCGCACCTAAGCTCTTTCAAGAACATGGTGTGTGCTTGGGCTTAGTAGAAAATTTATCGTGTTTAGACTTGAAATGAGTGTATGATAATTGTTATGTTATAATCATCTTATGTTAGTAATGATTATGTATGTTGTTTTCATTCTTCATACTTGTGCACAATTTAGAAGAAGATATAAACAACGGGACGGTTATAGATGAATTAGCATGAATCACCATTATGTTGCTAATGTCATCTCTGTGATTTAAGATTCACTTATCTATGTTGATGGAAAATATTAACACTATAACCATTGTACAGTCTTGATCAATGTGTAAATCAATGACTACAATGATTTTGTGCTAATAATTTCATTGAACAAAATCTAATGGTGAGGGTGCAATCTTCTAGTGGGAGAACGTTGGCCATATTATGATAATCTAGTGACATAATATAACCATGCAAGCCAAGTGGGAGATTGTAAGAATTTTTTCTAAATATGGCTTAATGTGACTTATGCATAATTATACTAGATTCATCTCATTAAGCAAGATACATGTACATCAATTAGATGGTAACTAATTATTGATGAATGCACCTATATATACATAATGTATAGAAGACTAATGGAGATAGTGTCAACGCATTGAATGTGATAGATTTATTATGAATGAATCTTAGAGATGCATTATGTATCTATTATGAATGTAGAAGATACATTAATCTATCTAATGAGTTCATTAATATAGAAGATACATTATGTATCATTAATGTAAAAGATACATTAATCTATTTAATGAAGTTCATTGAATGAATGGATTATTTGATGAGAAGAATATTAGTATAAATAGTGTAAGGTCCCAAACCACACTCTCCATCACAAAACTCAAATTGTCACCACAAGAAGGCTCTCATCGCTTAGAGAGAGAGAAGTGATTTGAAAATCTTAGACAAGTAAAGAACTTGAAGATTAAGATCGTCTATTTAAGGTTTCTCTTTCTTAAAAGAGGATTTCATACTATCATGGATCAATGTATATATACACTTATTTTGTATAGTAGAAATTCATATAGTTTTTATGTATAGAATTGAATCTTTAATGGTTTTTAGTTTATGTTTCGCAAAATTTTCTATCAGTAACTTAAAAAAAAAATTCCACCAAGCAAAGTCATTAAGGGTGGCCAATGGTCCGATAACTTGCCCAATCTAACTTGATATTCTTAGGGTTCAGAAAAATATGTAACTCGTAGAGCTTGGATAAAATTTTTGAACCCATTGAATTTTTGAGTTTTAGATAAATAATTTTAGCCCAACTCGGCTCAACTGGTCCATAGGGTCCAGCTGGATAAAAAATAAATAAAGAATATATATATATATATATATATATATTTCTGTAGCTTAAATTAAATTAAATTATTTCTTAAATATTATATTTATTTTATAATTATATGTTATTAATATTTTTTAAATTTAAATAATTATTAAAAAAATTTAAATAATTTAATAGACTACTTTGGTTTAGTCCCCAATTTTATCATTTGAGATTGGGACGTGTATATATGTTTATTTTCTTTTCACATTTTTATCTTTTTTTTTTTATCATTTTATTTCTTCATTTTTTATTTATTTATAAAAAGTTGAAAAAATATGTGTGTAAGTTTGAAATTTAGGAATTGTTTGGAGTGTCCTAAATCAGTGCACTTTTTGACTTTTTATGAAACATGGGTTGGGTATGGGTTGGGGTTTGAAATGATGTGATAGAGAGGTGATATAACTTAAATAAGATGATGTGACTTAAATAAGATAGTAACTTCTTGACTTTTTAAATTTTTTTAAAGATGCCAAACTTGACCTTAGCCATTCTATCGACATAATACTGTCGGCCGGTCCAAACTCCACACAAACCAATATTTGTGGACAGCTACAACATATAGGGTAATTATTTAATAATTTTGAAATATAAATTCATAATATTTTATAGTATTATGATTGGTAAAAAATGTGAGTAGGTGGAGTATTATATTGGGTAATTAAAAAATATGAAAGAACATATTAAGTGGATGTTTGGAAGTTGTTATTTTAGTAAGTTATTTTAATTTTTGACTATTTTAATAAGTTAAAATTTTTATATTTAGAAAGATAATTGAATTTTTTTATAATTAGATTTGATGTTTTTGTGAGAAAAAAAATAAAATAATTATAAGTTTGATGTAATATTTTATCTTATTAACTATTTTAATATATTTTGTCTTTTTATAAATTTTAACCAAAAAATAGGTTAAACTTAAGTTACCAAAGATAGTAGATTTTAGTGAAAAAGATAACCTAAAACTCACTTGCCAAAGCTTAAATAATGATTGATTAACATTATTGAATAATGTGAGCATGGATCCTCTAGAGGGATTTTTCTTTAAAGTTTCTTAGAGTGTTACATTGTGTGGTTGAGATTTACTGGCAAGTTATATCAATTTTTTTGATGTAACTTATCAATAAATCTCAACTACACAATGTAACACTCTAAAAAACTTTAGAAAAATTTCGCTCTAGAGGATCCTTGGTGGAATAATTTCCCCAACATACAAGGCGGGTGGTGGAACATGAACTTCGTAAATTTGCTAACGAACTCCAAAACACTCTCCCTCTCTCTTTTCTCTCTTTAGATCCGAACAATTCTCCTGCGCAAGCTCAGTCTCCTCTTCTTCTCCCCCTCTCCACATGGATCTCAAACTATGCAAATCAACTCAGACATGCGAGGCCGGTAGCGGGAACTCCCAATTTGCGTTGGCGGAGTTTCCCAATGACGACGACCACCGCTATTTCTTCTCACCAGCGCCCGCTAACCGGCCTCGTCACCACCCTCCGCACCTTCCTCACTTCCCTCTTCCTTCTCCTCCTCCTCCTCTACGCCCTCTACTCCTCCCAACTCTTCTTCTTCGGCCCCTCCAATTGTTCCCTCTCCTCCATCAAGGCCGACACCCACCTTCTCAACACCAACTCTTCTTCAATCACATCACTCAACAAACAACAACAACAACAACAACAAAATGATGATTTGCAGCTCAACCACATCGTGTTCTGCATAGCCGCCTCGTCCAACCTGTGGGACACGAGAAAAGAATACCTCAAGCTCTGGTGGCGGAACAACGAAACTTGCGGCGTTGTCTGGCTTGACCAACCCGTGAACACAACGCAGAACGAGAAGGAATTCTTGCCGGAGATTCATATCTCCGGCAACACGTCCGATTTCAAGTACACCAACAAGCAGGGGGTGAGATCGGCGCTCAGGATCTCGAGAGTGGTCTCGGAGACCTTGAGATTGGGATTGAAGGACGTGAAGTGGTTCGTGATGGGGGACGACGACACGGTGTTCGTGGTTGACAATTTGGTGAGGGTGCTGTCCAAGTACGATCACCGGCAGCTTTATTACATCGGGAGCTCGTCCGAGAGTCATATTCAGAATATTTTTTTCTCCTATTCGATGGCATTTGGAGGCGGCGGGTTTGCGATTAGCTATCCATTGGCGAAGGAGTTGGAGAAGATGCAAGATGCCTGTATAAGGAGGTACCCGAATTTGTATGGAAGTGATGATAGGATGCAGGCTTGTATGGCTGAGCTTGGGGTGCCACTTACCAGAGAAGCTGGCTTTCATCAGGTAATTTGATACTTGTTGACTAGAATGTGTTAAAGAATTGATGAGTCACCAAACACATACAATACAATACGTTATAATATATCTATATTGTTGTCTTTTGGTTATGCAGTACGATGTGTATGGAAACCTCTTAGGCCTTTTGGGAGCTCATCCTGTAACTCCCCTGGTGTCTCTTCATCACCTCGACGTTGTGCATCCGATATTCCCACGAATGGACAGAGTTCAGGCCCTCCGGCACCTCTTTGACTCCACCATGAATGACACGGCCAGTACAATGCAGCAATCCATTTGCTACGACAGGCAACACCAATGGTCCGTCTCTGTTTCATTTGGGTACGTGGTTCAGATCATAAGAGGAGTCATGACTCCCAGAGAGCTAGAGAAGCCCACACGGACATTTCTGAACTGGTACCCGAGAGCTGATTACACGGCATATGCTTTCAACACTAGGCCTGTGACCAGGCACCCCTGCCAGAAGCCTTTTCTGTTTTATATGAAATCATCTCACTACAATGAAGGCAAGAATCAAACAATTGGGGTCTATTCTCGTGATCGTCATGATACTCAACCTTTTTGTCGATGGAGAATGGACTCGCCTGACACAATTGACACCGTTGTCGTGATGAAAAGACCGGAGAGCCAACGTTGGAAAAAGGTTTGGTGTTCAGCAACTCAATTCTAGTTGGTTATACTTTTTGTACCAAAGGTGACTTGAAGACTAAAACCGGTTAACAAGTTTTGTTTTGAAAGTGAATTTGAAAAACATTAACAGAAAGTACTAATCAAACTATACACACTTCCAACAAACAACATAGCCTCGTCCTTATTATCAAACATTTTCCCCCTCCCCCACAACCCCTAGAAAATGCATTTCAATTCATTGGAACTCAAACGTGTTAAAACGATTATAAATGCAAAAAAAAATTAACCATACACACTTCCAAGAAACCACCTTTTTTTTTTTCATTTGTTTGATTTGAATAATATTACTAGTACTAACTAAATCCTGATTTTCTCTTGCAGTCACCAAGGAGGGATTGTTGTAGACTTTTGCCGTCAAATAAGAAATCACAAATGTATATATGGGTGGGCAATTGCGGAGAAGGTGAGGTTAGTGAATGGTAGCAGCAAGAGGGAGCTAAATTTTGCATCTTTTCAATTGTTCTTTCCTGCCAAGTTGTTTGATTGAATATATTGGATACAAACCAATAGTGCCTTTTGTCGCTCAAGGAATTTGAGCATTATATTGGAAACAAACCAATATTACCTTTTGTCGTTCAACGAATTTGAGCTCGGAGGACTCAAGTTTTTGAGCTTCAGGACATCAAATAGCTGCCCCAGCTAACCTTTGGTTGCACCAAACATCACTTATTGAAAGAAGGGCTTGGCTAATTCTGCTATTTCTCAATTTTTTGAGTGTAAATTTTTTCAAAAGAATGTCAACCAATGAACCTGTTCTTACAAGTTCTATTTGTAACCAAACTCGTGATATCCTGATTCCAAAACAACAATATCCTAATTGATTACCTTATATCTTTCAGTGGTTTTCTTGAATTGTATATGCCAAAAAAGAGAACTCATGAAAATTGTGACTCATATGAAAGAAATGATTCTTCAATCAGTTGGACTCACCGGTTGTTCTTCAGTTTCATTCTTAAGTATCAGAAACTGAGGGACTGAGGCATTTGATGGAGTAGCCGATGCCAGGACGGTGTGGTCAACAAGGGTTTCGTTGTTGAGAGGCCATGTCAACACAATCCTATGGATTTCCATGATTCTGCCATCTTTGATTTCCAGGTTCACTGTATTCAAAGTAAAACATAAAGACAATTAATATAATTACAGAACAAAAAAGTACTAGGCAATTAATCTTTTTCAATTTTTTTCTACAAATGTTTTTCAGAGGAAAAAAAGAAATGTCTCGAAGAAAATAAAAACAACGAAAAATTTATGTTATAAGTGATTTCAGTGCTTGCACAAAAAAAGTATTTGGTTTACAAGCCGCCAAATATCCTTTGCGAAACACTAATTTCTCAGCAACCAAACAGAAGTATTAATTTCTCGAATTGAAATCACGTTCAACTTACACAGATCAGAAAACAAAGATGTTCTTCACTAAACATTTAACAGAAAAAGAAAAACTCATTTCTCAGCAACCAAACAGAAGTATTAATTTCTCGAATTGAAATCACGTTCAACTTACACAGATCAGAAAACAAAGATGTTCTTCACTAAACATTTAACAGAAAAAGAAAAACTCAGTAGAAAAAAGTTAAACAAGGCTGAGCTGGTGGTCAATGAGAATGCAAATTGTGTGTGTGTGTATATATATATATATATTGTTAGTATATTATTATATGATAGCATTGTATATTATTATACTTTAGAATATTATATGTTAGCATTGTATATTATTATACTTTAGAGACATTATTATTATGTTTAGGTTTAGCTTTATGCTTTCAGTGCCTCGCATCCAATGTATATCACAGGCTATAAGAAGAGAGCTAGGCTCCCTTTGTAAATTAACAAAATAATATACACATCTCATTTATTCACTTGCTCTCTCTCTCTATCAATTTATCTTATATGGTATCAGAGCCCAGTAATACAATTCTGGCATTCTTCAATTTTGGTGCTTAGTCCTGTACACAGTGGAACTACACCAAACAGCTCGGAATCTCCTTACGATTCCAACGGCACCAAGCCCGTCACCAGAAACTCTCTTACGCGCTGCCTCTTTGCTCGGCGCGTCTCTGCTTCCGTTGCCACGCTCACACGCGCCTTCACACGCCTTCCGCTCTGCCCTTTCGTGCGCCGCGCCTGCTACAGTGCACCCGCGTGCGCCGTTCCGCTATTGTGCACCCGTGTGCGCCGTTCTGCTACTATACGCCGCACGCCCTCTCTACTATCGTGCGCCGCACGCCCTCTCTACTAACGTGCGCCACTGACATCATCTTCCATCCTGCTGACATCATCTCTACACAGCCCATCTTTCCTAGCTATTTTCGGCCTTCCGGACTCACTGGTACACTCTGTTTTACCTAATTTTGCTCCTACAGGTCTATTCCTATCAATTTAGCCTTACTCAACTATTATTATGGATCGTCATGATGCCTCCTATCCCATTTCCGTTATTTTAAATGGTTCCAACTATGTTCTATGGGCCCCAGCCATGTCCTCCTTCCTCAAAGGCAAGAAGCTCTGGCGAATTGTCACCGGGGATATGACTAAACCGGTGAAAGACAGTGCCACTAATGAAACTACTGCTCATACTACTACCTATGAAGACCGACTTGAGGAATAGGACAGTAAGAATTACCAAATCATTATCTGGTTTCGTAATACCTCTATTACCTCTATCAGTTTTCAGTTTGGTCGCTTTCAGCTTGACTCTGTAACTACTCCTGCAAAAGACATCTGGAATTTTTTTAAAGAACGATACCAGACTACTGGTCTTGCCCATCAATATCAACTTCAGAACCAACTTCACCGCATGCGCCAAGAATCCACTCAGTCCATTAATGACTTCCTTTCTCAAATGTACTCTGTTTGGGATCAGCTTGCTCTTTCAGAACCAACTTGGCATAACCAAGAAGATGTTGTTTTATTTACTATCTATCGCAACCAGGAAAGGTTGGTGCACTTTCTCATGGCTCTTACTTCCTCTTTTGAGCCCGTACGTGCCTCTCTGCTTCATCGCCATCCATTGCCCACTCTTGAACAAGCAATTTCTGAGTTGCTATCAGAGGAGACTCGTCTCGGTACACTTCAAACTCATCATGTGGACTCTGTTCTTGCCACTCTTCCGCACCGGCCATCATTTACCCAGTGGACCACTGCTTGCCTCTATTGTCAGAATCGGGGCCTTCCTTCAACCCATCTCCTGGTCAATTGCCCCGTCAGATCCTGCCGCTACTGCAACAAACTTGGTCCTGGTCATCTGCAACAGGATTGTTTTTGCAATCCATCCCGATCATCCTCCAATAGCCACTCCTCTCGCGGTGGCTCTTCCCGGGGAAGCTTTCATCGTTCCGGGAATCAGTCTCATCACACTGCTATTGCTGCTTCTGGGAATCAGTCTCATCACATTGCTGCTGCTGCTTTTGGGCATCAGTTTCATCACACTGATGCTTCTGCCTCTGCAGGGTTCTCTGAGTCACCTGCTCCGTCTACCCCTCGCTTTTCTTCGACAGATGTAGAGGCCATGCTCAAACAACTTCTCTCCCCTTCTGGTACACCTCCTCCTACTGCTTTGTCTGTAACCCCAGGTAACTCTTCTTGGCATTTTGACTCTACCTGTTGTAATCATATGACCTCCAGTTCTACTATCTTTTCTTCCTTCTCCTCCTCTCCTCATCTTCCCTCAATTCATACTGCTGATGGTTCTCTCATGTCTGTCCGTCATATTGGTACTGTTTCCACCTCTTCTTTATCTATACCTCAAGTTTATCATATTCCTGCTCTCACCTTAAACCTTATTTCCATTGGTCAATTATGTGAACTTGGTCTAACTGTCACATTTTCTACTATTGATTGTTTGGTACAGGACCCTCAGACAGGGCAGACTATTGGGATCGGCCGTAAGCGTGGACGTCTCTATGAACTCATTCACCTTCATGTTCCTGCCTCTCCTCAGATTGCTGCTCCTACATCTACTTCCTTATTATCTCCCTTTCATCTTTGGCATTGTCGCTTAGGGCATATTTCTGTTACTCGTTTAAGGTCTTTGGTTTCTAGTGGACAGTTGGGTCATGTAATTCCCGATAATTTCGATTGTATACCCTGTCAACTTGCCAAACAACCTGCTTTATCATTTAATAAGAGTACTTCTGTTTCTCTTGCCCCTTTTGATCTTATACATTCGGATATTTGGGGGCCCTCCCCTACTACTACTATGGGGGGATCCCGCTATTTTGTTGTTTTTATTGATGATTTTTCCCGGTTTACTTAGTTTTTTCTCATGAAAAATAGGTCTGAACTTAAACACATTTATTATAGATTTGCCCACATGGTCCACACCCAATTCTCCAAAGCCATCAAAATTTTTCGCTCAGACAATGCTATGGAATATCAGGATTCCGATTTTCTTTCCTTTCTTCAGCATCATGGTACACTGCCTCATCGTTCTTGTGCTGGCACGTCCCAGTAAAATGGTCGCGCTGAACGGAAACATAGGCATATTCTTGACACTACTCGCGCTCTCCTTCTATCTTCTTCCTGCCCTGAAAACTTTTGGGAGGAAGCTGCCCTCACTGCTATTTACACTATCAACTATGCTCCTACCCCTGTCATCCATAATCAAACTCCCTTTGAACGTCTGCATGGCACTCCCCCTCCTTACGCCAATCTCCGGGTTTTTGGCTTTGCTTGTTTTGTTCTACTTCAATCCCATGAACACACCAAGCTTGAACCTCGCTCTCGTCTTTGTTGCTTTCTTGGGTATGGAATTGAACATAAAGGCTTTCGCTGTTGGGATCCTCTCTCTCAACGCCTTCGTATCTCCCGCCATGTCGTTTTCTGGGAACACCAAATGTTTTCCTCGCTATCGTCCTTTCACTTACCCGCACTTTCCACTCCTGTACTGTTTACTAATCCTTCCATAGATCTTTTCTCTGCTGATTTTGATACAGGTTCCTCTTTCATCGAGACGCCCTTGCTCACTCCTGATCCTGTCCAGCCTGCTCTCCCTGAAGGTCTACCTCTTATTACCACACCTCCTTCTCCACCAGTTCTTCCTCCCACCGATCCTCCTACGGGTCGACCACGCCGGGTAACTCAACCTCCTATCCATCTTCGTGATTATATTGTTGGATCTGCTACCTTCTCTACTTATGAACCTACCTCCTATCGTGAGGCTTGTACCAATCCTCTTTGGCAGCAAGCTACGACTGATGAACTCCAGGCCTTGGACAAAGCTCATACTTGGGATCTTGTTGATCTTCCTCCTGGCAAGACTGCAATTGGCTGCAAATGGGTTTACAAAATCAAAACACATTCTGATGGATCTATTAAACGCTACAAAGCTCGTCTTGTTGCCAAGGGTTTCAACCAGGAGTATGGTATTGATTATAAGGAGACATTCTCTCCTGTTGCTCGGCTTACCTCTGTTCGCAGTTTACTTGCTGTTGCTGCTGCTCGCCACTGGGGGCTCTTTTAGATGAATGTCAAAAATGCTTTCCTCAATGGTCATCTTCTTGAGGAGGTCTACATGCAACCTCCACCTGGGTCCACTTTTCAACCTCATCAGGTTTGCAAACTACAATGTGCTCTCTATGGCCTCAAGCAAGCGCCTCGTGCTTGGTTTGCTACGTTCAGTTCTACCATTCATGACTTCGGGTTCACCTCTAGCCCCTATGACTCTGCTCTTTTTATACGGACTACTTCTCATGGTACTACTCTTCTTCTTCTGTATGTGGATGATATGATTATCACTGGTGTCCATTACCAGCATCTCTAACATGGGAGGGCATTTTAATTGCACAAACCACAAGGGAGGTTCCAGTAATAGCCAGAAACCTCAAGGGAGATCCATGTATTATCCAAAACTTCCTATTTGTCCCAGGCCAAATATGCATCCGATCTTCTGGCTCGTGCTGGTCTTACTGATTGCAAAACTACCTCTACTCCAGTTGATCCTCAGATTCGTCTCACTCCTCTTGATGGGACTCTTCTCTCTGATGCTACTCTTTATCGCTAGCTCATCGGCAGTCTTGTCTACCTCACAGTAACTCGTCCTGACATTGCCTATGCTGTTCACATTGTCAGTCAGTACATGTTGGCTCCCCGCACTCCCCACTATACTACTCTACTCCGCATCCTTCGCTACCTCAAAGGCACTCTGTTCCATGGCCTTCACTTCTCTGCTTCCTTCTCTCTTGAACTGCATGCCTTTTCCGATGCTGATTGGGCTGGGGATCCTACGGATCGACGCTCTACCACGGGTTTCTGCTTCTTCTTAGGGGATTCTCTTCTTGCTTGGCGTAGCAAAAAACAATCCCTCACTGCCTGCTCTAGCACCGAAGCTAAATACCGAGCTCTTGTTGATACTACTCAGGAACTTCTCTGGCTTCGCTAGCTTCTTGCTGATATGGGTGTTTCTTCTTCTGGTCCTACCCCTCTCTATTGTGACAATCAAAGTGCCATTCAGATTGCTCACAATGATGTTTTTCATGATTGCACCAAACATATTGAGATTGATTGTCATTTCATTCGCCAGCATGTTACTTGTGGTACTGTTCATCTTCTCCCTATTGCTTCCGTCGATCAACCCGCTGATATCTTCACTAAGGCTCATCCTCCTGGCCGCTTCAATGATTTTGTTTCCAAACTCAACTTGGTTGATGCTTTCCCTCCTTGAGTTTGCGGGGGATGTTAGTATATTATTATATGATAGCATTGTATATTATTATACTTTAGAATATTATATGTTAGCATTGTATATTATTATACTTTGAGACATTATTATTATGTTTAGCTTTAGTTTTAGCTTTATGCTTTCGGTGCCTCGCATCCAATGTATATCACAGGCTATAAGAAGAGAGCTAGGCTCCCTTTGTAAATTAACAAAATAATATACACATCTCATTTATTCGTTTGCTCTCTCTCTATCAATTTATCTTATATATATATAGATAGAGAGAGAGAGAGAGAGAGATAGGAAAGAAAAGCAAAAATGGAATGCCAAATGATGAAATTGGATCTTGAGATATGAGGAATTATCACATATATATATATATATATATACCTGGATAAGAGAAGCAGCAGAGGATGAAGAAGCAGAGCAACACAATCACAGGAATAACATGAATCATCAAATTGGCCCTATATCGGGAACGCCACATCTCCCTCCGGCGAACGCGAAGACGCTCGAAGAACGAACGACCTGTGTGACCTTCCGTCGTCTTCCTTTTCGGAGAGTGTTTGTCCTGCTGCTGCTGCTGCTGCGTTATCTCGATGACATGGTCATGGCGATATTCATCGGAAGCACGGGACGAGCTCGTAGTAGGTCTTTGCATTCTAGAGAGAGAGAATGGTGAGTATAGAGTGGTGGGTGTTGTTGAGGAGGAGAGTAGTGTCTGTTAGGTCGGTTTGTGAGTTAGAGCTTTCGTAACCGATTTTATGGCGCGAAAAGTTCCTGGCGTGCGATGAAGGTAACGACTTCTACAGCTGGACTTTCAATTGTCAACTCTGAGTCCCGACCACGAGAAGTCATTGATTACATTCATTGTGATTGGTGGAAGATGAAGTCTATTTTTTTTATTTTTGGTTACATGGAAAGAAAAAGGTGTAGGCTATTATTTTGTATTAAATAATTGAAGTAAAATATTTTTTCCTACTTCTTTTTTTATTCTTTAATTTAAATTTTTTATTTTTTAAAAATATATTCTAAGGAGAAAAAAAGGATGGAATCGGTTACCAAACTATCTTCCCATCCATGTATGGGTTGGTATTAATTCGGTAGAAAAGTGGGCATCTGTAGAAAAATTGTACAGTTAGTCAGTCAGGGCTGCTGTCTGGTTTTTCTCCCACAAAAAAATTTTGAATAAATTATAAACACATTTATTTAAATTATAAATTATTCTTATGATTCTAAAAAATACATTATACTTTTTAAGATTTCTAATTTCATAATAAATAGATCATTTTATTAATAAATCATCAAGTTAATTAGTAGTTTTTAATAATATTAAAATTTTATTCATTTAATCATTCAGATTATTTTATTATTGTATAGGTGAACAGTTAAAAATTTCATTTTTTCAATTAATTCTGTTAAATAAAAAATTTTGACAGGGAGGTATTTGTAATTTTTCAAACCACAAGGGACAATTCGTATTTTAAGCAAATCTCAGGAAGTATATTTGTAATTTACCCAAAAAATTATGATAAATTATTAACTAGTTTTAATAGTTAGACTTAATTTTCATTATATCTTATCAAATTCGTCGCTGAAAGTTAATCTTATAAGAATCATCACTAAAAATTGACAATTAATGACATTTTTCTATAATAAATTTTTTAACTATCATTAAAAATTACTAATTAGTTACCCTTTTACAAGACCAATTAAGCAATAGGTCCGCCTAATAAGACATATACATAAGTCTCCCAAAATTTAAGTAATTGGAGGTATTTGATAACTATTAATATATAAAAATTGAGACATCTAGCTCACCAGTAGAAAACACTCTTATTATTAAATTAAGTTCTTAAATTGGGAGATAGTATTGACACAATTAGAGTGGAACCCTTATTCTCTAAATGAAAGAGAATATTGCAACTATATGAATGAGAATGCACAAACTTAATAATATTGACCTCCTTAATTTTTAACCCAACATTGCAAAGTCTTAATCCATAAGGAACTAGGAATAAATACAATAATATTGACCTCCTTTTGTTTGATAGGAAAAAAAAAATACTGAACAACAATATATTGAATCTCATTGCTTATGGATAAAGACCTTTTCAAAAAATATATATACATATATATATATATTATATTATATATATAAATGTACATGATTCACCTAATATATTTTGCAATCCATCATTTATCAGGAGCATCAATAAACAATATACATGATATTATTGCTTTTGAGTATGATATGTATCTCCAAAATTGGTCAATCATTGTTAGAAGTTCTATCTTCATGTGTATTTGTTGCTCTTTATAGAAATAGGCAAGCACTTCTTTTTATTGTTGGTGGAGAGGGTCACACCATTGAAAGTTAAAGCTGCTAGAATCAAATGTACAATATGAAGTTCATGTAATTGGAGATGAATTTTAATTTTTTTTTTGGAATTACATAATTTTGAATTGGCAAGCAAAAAAGAAGTAATTGCATTAGTCATAGCCTTTTAATTGGCTCAAATTGAATAATTCCAAAACAAAATATATTAGATTGTCAATGTTTAATTTTCTACGTTAGACCCAGAAAGCAAAGCCATAGATATAGCCTAACAGTTAAGAGTCATGACGTGAACACTAAATTTAGCCATCTCAAATTCAACTATCGTTGGTGTCTTTTAGATTCATGTCTTCATCGCGAAAAAATGATTTTAATCCAAAAATTGTTTTATGTAGGAACAAGTCTTGTTTCCACTTGCATATACACATCAAACCCTATACAATTTGATTTTGAATTTTAACTTTCCACTTTATTCAAAACATAAAAAGGCAGTTGGAAATTTATGAGGGGAAGGAGTCCAGTTTGTTCGATTGAAAGGAGGGTGATTAGCATAACTTTAACTTGAACATAAACCTATTTTAATGACATCCAAAAATGCTAAAAACTTGTTTAATAAAGCTCATCTACCAAATTTCATAAAAGTTGAGAAGTACAAAATAAAAATTTAAAATAAGCAGAAAAAGAAGAAGAAAATAACAGAGAAGAAAACAGCAAATAGGAAGCAAGAATAAGGTATTTTCTCTTTATTTATAATGATATGAAGATTAAACTATAACTACAGAAAACTTTTTCTACAAAGACGTATCTTACATATTATATATATATATATATATATGAATCACAGCTTCATTTACATGGAAAAAGAGGGACAAAAATGGAAGAATATCCCTATAATTTCCATAAAGAGTCTATGATTGGAAAGTAGCACCTGTTATCCTCTGTGGACACAAAAAAAAAAAAAAAAATGATAACCAGGCACATGATATTTAAAAACTAGTCCTCTGGTTCGGCTCTCCCTCGTCCGTTGTCTTCAGAATCCTTTTCTGATCGGTGAGAAGATGATCGGTAAGAAGATGCAGCCCTCCGGGAGGAGCTTTGGAGAGGATGGGTTAGGGGATCGTATGTTTGGGAAGCAAGGTAATTCAAAGCTGTGACTATGTCAGCAATGAGAGGCCTCATGTTTGGTTGCTCTTGGACACACATTGCAGCAATGGCAAGAGCTTGATACAAGCCTCTCGTGGGATACTTACCTTCGAGCACCGGATCGGCCATCTGTGGGAATTTTCTCCGGTCTTTGAACAGGGGTCGTGCCTGCAAATGAATCCCGGGTAATTAAATTTTAGGCAACCTCCTTTTCCTCTTTAATTTTTCATTTTTAAAGTCTTCAATATGGGGTTTCCTTCTCTTTTTTTTTACCACCAATTATCAATTTTTGAGATTCAAAAGATTATGACAAACAACTAATCTATTCTAGCTAGGTAGGCTATTATGTGAGGCTTTCATACTGTGAAAGTGAAAATGAAATAAGTCTATCAAGACAAACAAAATAACAATCAGAATGCAAACGAACATATATTAAAAAAAAGGCATATATTGTTGCATTCAAGGCATACCAAGAGGTCATTTTATTATTTTTGTAGTTCACTTCTTCGATGCATGTCATGTCATGTGTTCATTACATTCTCTAACCAAGATGTGTGTGAATTCACTAACTAGTTTCTAGAGAGCTTCATGAGCAACTTCAAATTCAAAGTAAAGACATACAAGTAAAAATGACCTCAAAGAGATCTGCTACTTAAGTTGTAAACCCAGGTTTTAATAGCCAATGAAGCTGTTTAGTACAAAAGAATGGTCGAGAAAATTGCATTAATGCATGTTCGAGTCATGGGGAATCAGCTTTTTCCATAAAAAAGTGGGGATAAGGATGCCTATCCACTTACCTCTTCCAAAGTGGGGATAAGGATGCCTATCCACTACCTCTTCCGAACCTGTTAACAGGATAAAGATGCACTGGGGTATGACAATTTCCATAATATTGTCATCAACTAGTTTGTACCAATGTAACCATTGAAAATCTTGGGAACAGAAAAGTTTTAACTGGTTCAGAACTGATCCTTCTTCCAGGTCAGATATATTTACAAAGCTCAACCTCTGGCTTCTATGAATCAAACTACAGTACTAGGTTATTATCCACCTTCAAGGAATCTCTAAGGTATGATTGATGAGTATGGAACATGTTTAAACATTTGAGGATAACTCAGAAATCCAGTCACATTTTTAATTCTACAACAGTTCCCCAGGGAGGGCATTAAATCCCCGACAATGGCATCACTAACCATTTTTAGTTCCATAGAAGTTTCCAAGAGCAAGGGGTGACCATTGGTTTAATGGAGTCACATCATCTCTCTAACACATCACCTCAAACCCAACCCAAACCCAACCCATATTTCATAAAAAGTCAAAAAGTACACTTATTTAGTCTTCCCAAACTAGGCCTAAATCCCCGACAATGGCATCACTAACCATTTTTAGTTCCATAGAAGTTTCCAAGAGCAAGGGGTGACCATTGGTTTAATGGGTAAGGCTTTGCCTAATAACTTTAAGATTATGGGTTTAAGTCTTGAGACCAAGGTTTTAAAAAGCGGCCGCAACCGTTACGTAACGCCGTTACGTAACAGTTTTGGCGGTTGCCGCCACCCGTTACGGCCGCTTTTGCAGTGTGATTGAGATTCACAGGTGTGTCGGCCGTAGCGGCTGCCGTAGCGGTCGTAACGGTGCCGTAACAGTCGTAACGGCCTGTTACACACCATTACGTAACGGTTCCAAACTGTTTGTTTCAAAAAAACACACAAAAAAAAGCTGAAAATGGGGAAAGAGGGATAGAGAGAAGAGAGAAGATAAAGAGAGAATGGAGGAGCAAGAGACAGAGAGAGAAGAGGGAAAAAGGAAGATGAAGGACATGTTATTGATTTGTTGAAGTTGTAAGACCTATGCTATTCTATTCAGCTGCTATTACTAAACTATTTTGTTTGTGTGTGTCTATCTATATATTGTTTGAAAATAATAATAATAATAATAAGTGTGGTCATCTATTTGGCTTGGTTAAAATATGTATATATATATATTTACGCTTTTATTTATTCTCTTACTTTGTTATTGTTTATCTTATATATAATAGTTAGTGATTGATTTTTTGTATAATATAAAGTTATTAATTATTAAAATAAAATGTAAAAAACTCAATTTATAGTGATTTAAAAATATGAAATATATTGGATTATACTTAACAATTTACAAAAAATTGATCAATATTTATTTTTAACCCAATAAATATGATTATGAAAAAAAAATATGCGTATTGATAAGTTTTTTTCAAATTGTGCAAAAAATAAAAAAATTCACGGTTTCGGTTACCGCAACCGTTACACTACGGCCTTTACACCTCACAACCGCAACCGCGTCACCGCCACCGTTACGGCGACCGCAACCGCTTTTCAGAACCTTGCTTGAGACCATCACTTTGTTTGTGCATTATGCCAAAAGTTAGGTATGCACTCAATCTTTCCCCTTCTAAATACACATTCATATATACTAATTGAGCGTCGTTTTTTTTTTAAAGAAGTTTCTAAGAGCATAAATTTCCGACATCACTAAACTCGCTTGTACATCAGTTTCTCTCAGCAACAAATAATAAAAAGGCTAGAAGAGCACATCAATATTGAAAAAAAATTTCATCATCATCTACTTATGGCAGTGGTAAGAAATAGAATGTACATCATCTATTTGTAGGAGTGAGATTTATCATACATTCAAATTCATGATTAAAGAAATCATATCATTTCATCATTCCTATGTTTGTTCTTTTCTTGTATTAAAAAATTCAATAATATATTCAGTTGCCATTTTCCTCATTTGGTGTGCATCCCTATTGACTCTACCAAATTCAACATTCTAAAATATTAGGTTACTTCCCATATATTCAGTTGGTTTGTAGAAATTCTTAAGAATGAAAAGTTTTAGTAAGATCATCTAGTTTCTAAACAAGCCTAATAAGACACAGAAATAGTTACCCCTAACTGTGATTAAAATTCATATAAATAATGATAAGAACTTCAAAGTTTCAAAAACGTGTTACTATTTCAAGTAAAAGCATAAAATGATATAAACACTAACAAAAATTATACAAAACATAGGATACTTGGAAGTGTGGGCCCCAGACTCTAATCATGCAGGGCTTCTCACTACTAGAGTCCTTTTGGACAGGGGCCCAAACCACAAAAACATCACAATCCAAGTGGCCCTCTAAAATTGACGATGATTCCCCAGAGAAGCCACAAACGAAAAGAGATTCCTACAAATGAATATCAATCTTATCAAGCATGAACTTTAACCGACTGGTTTCTTATACTTTTTTATAATCATTGACTCTTGTATAGATAATTACTATTCAATCAGAAAAGTGATCTACCCAAAATGATGCTTACTTACTCAAGGCAGTTCAGTTGGTTAAAAGATCATCGGCATCTCAACATATTGCTTTCGGTACAAATTTTTTGAAAAGGACAACCAATATCTGTTACGCAAATAATCTATAAAGAGATTTGCAGGAATGAGAGTGGGAAAACAAAAAGTAACTTACTTACCCATGCAACCAGATTTTGCTCAGCAGTGGGTCTCATATTATCAATTGCTTTCCTGCCTGTGATGATCTCCAAAAGAACAACCCCAAAGCTGTAAATATCCGATTTGAATGTGAGCTGACCGGTCATTGCATAATCTGGTGCACAATACCCGTATGTGCCCATCACTCTGGTAGAAACATGAGTCTTATCTCCAACCGGACCTACTTTAGCCAAACCAAAATCAGATAGCTTGGGATTATAGGCTTCGTCAAGCAAAATGTTTGAGCATTTCAAATCACGATAAATAACAGGAGGCTTCATTTTATCATGCAAATACTCTAAGCCCTTTGCTGCACCAGCCGCTATCTTCATTCTAGTATTCCAATCAAGTCGTTTCCTATTAGGCCTAAGGTCTGAACAAGAAAAAGGAAGTACGGAAAATGTATTAGGAGGCAAAAAGAATCCAAAAACAAAAGAAAGAGAAGGACCTGCATTAAAACTTACAGAAAGCTTGAGCAAATGGAAAAGAACTAAGAAAAATCAAATGATGATAATGGAAGATTGGTGGGAAAAAAAAATATACCATGCAAATGATCTTCCAAAGATCCTAATGCCATGTACTCATATACCAACAGCCTCTGTTCTCCCTCAGCACAATAACCAATTAATTTAACCAGATTAGGGTGGTTAGCAAGACCTAGTGTCAATACTTCAACAATGAATTCTCTAATCCCTTGCAACCCATTACGGTCAAGTTGCTTGATAGCTACAATCTGCACAACAACGCGAATATTCAGGTCTGATTGCCAGCTTTTAAAGAGTTAAATCTAACCCACCAAGATGGGCATAGCCTCATAGGCAATAACAGCAAAAAAATCTAGTTATTTAATGACCGGTATCACATGAGGTTTCAACCAACCTGGTCCGTATCCTCCAATTTTCCCTTATAAACCTTGCCAAAACCTCCCTCACCCAAAAAATAATCCGAATTGAAGGTTTCTGTTGCCGCCACCAATTGATCAAAAGTAAATGTCCTTGCCTTATTATTCTCAGTCCCTGCATCCTTAATTACCTCCTTCACATCCAACTCCTTTGCTGCCAGAGATTGATTTACTACTTTAGGGTCCTTCACACCTTTATATGGACTTGATCTCAATGTATCTAAATCACATAAACAAACACCAAAAAACATGTGAGAGTGAGAGCCCATTTGAAGAACAGAGAAAACGACACAAAATGCACATGGTGGCTAAAAGCCAAAACTCGATTCTTATATGATTCTCACAAAAGCGGAAACATGATGACCACAATTATTATTAAAATAGAGAAGAAAACAACGAACCGACTCAGAAGAAAGCAAACATTATGCACATTCAAGAAAGATTTTGAAATTTTGAATTAGAATTTCCAAAAACACAATTATATTTGTACAGCAACAATCACAACCATATACTATCCCAAAACAGTTATAGAACCAACATACGATTTTTGCAACTGCTTAGAAACTAGCAATAATCTTAAGAGTACCCGAATTAATAGAATGAAAAAACACATAATTCTTCATATACAAAGATTCAAACATGTAATAAAAAATACATAATTCTTACTTCTTAGACTAATCAAAATTTAGCCTTTCCCTATACCCAACCTCAAAGTCAAAAGTTTTGCTTCCACACACACACACACACACAGAGGTGAAAAGACCCAATTGTTCGAAAATCTGAAATGGGAATAGGAACTGAAAAATACAAGAAGTGTGAATTTGAAAACCAATCACAATCTAAATCAAACTAAAGCAAAAAAGAAAAAGAAGAAAAGAAACAAAACAAAATGATGAAGACAAAAGAAAAAGAACCAAGAAGTACCAAAAAAGCAATACCTAAACAATGCACTCCTGAGATTTAATCCAGTGCAAACCCAGGTGAGACACATAAAGATCAACAACAAAAATACCAAATTTTGATCAATTTAGATCAAACCCATTTCACAGAATCACCCAATAACTTCAATTTCAAAAAAATTAGCTGATTCTTTTTCTTTTTCATTTCTTCCCTCACAATGAAATGATACAGATTGAATGCAAAAAACCAAATAGAGAAAACAAACAACGATCGAATCACTTGTTCAGTGATTACTACTATACCTGAGGTGGACTGTGTTTGATCATCTCGTCTATTTTGATTGTTATTGCGACTTGTCTTCTCCTTCTCCAGTTGTTTGTTCGGATTTCCAGAGCATGGAAAACAACCCATGCTTTTTACTCTTTCTCTCTCTCTCCTCCACCAACACCCTCTCTCTCTCTCTCTCTATATATATATATATATGTATGTCTTCAGAGAGAGAAGATGAAACAGAGTCCGAAACGTGATAGAAATAATGAGAGACCCCTGCAACTTTTTTTAGAGAGAGAGGAGAAGAGAGAGACGAGACTAGAGAGAGAGAGTGAGAAAGAGAAGCGTTTTTTATATATATTTTTTTTGTTTTTGTTTTTATGATTTATATATTTTTGGGCTGTGCATGGTGCAGATCAGCTGTGAAACGAATTCAACACACTCACCAACCGGAAACCGCCACGTCATCAGTCTGCGCGTATTGATTTATTTCGCTGGGTTGCTGACGCCGCGTGATTTCGGCCTCCGGGTCGGGACATTAATTTACTGTGTGAGCTGGTTAGCACCATAGAAAAACGACGCCGTATACATGTCAGCACCGTAGACCTGTTTTCCACCGTACGATGACTCTGATGTGAAATAAAAATAAGAAGTTAGAGGCAGGAACCGAATAGGATATTATTACGGAAGGGTCACCATATACAGAAAGGCTTATTTTGGCAACATAGTTTTTAGCTATTTTTATGGTTAGTAGTAAAAGTTAAAAGTTGGTTTTTTTAATTTTTTTTTTATTTGGGAAGTTGGTTTTTAGTCAACGGTAAAATTACAATTTTACCCCTCATGGGTCAAAATGTGTTACATAGGTGAAGTTGTAAATATTTTAAATAAATGTGGGTAGTTTGGTCATTTTATTATGATTTGACATCATAAACAAACATTAATCAAAAAAGTCAAAAGTCACTTTTTACCAACTTCTCAAATCATTTGTCTAAAAAAGCCAAAAGCTTAGTTAAAAGCCAAAAAGTCACTTTTTACCATCTTCCCAAAACAACCCAAAATACATATATACATATATAATATATAAATTATATATACATAAAAAAAAAATTACATACCATAGAAGTAATTTCTAATAGGATGAATTCTTTTTTACGTAAAATAAAAAGAAAATTCAAGATGAAAGAATAATAACATATATTTTTTTTTTGTATTGGGGGTCATTTTATGTATAAACTAATAGATATATTTTAAAATTCTATAGCAAAAAATTATTTTCACTATAAGATTGACTAATAAGTCTCATATTTTGGACTTGTAATTCATATAGTTCCATATTTTTTCTTATGATCCATTTAATTCTTTTGGATGTGTAATGACCCATTTATCCGCCACATTAGCGTGTCACGTTTAAAAAAAATACACTAAAGAGTTTTTAGTATTACATCACACATGTCACGTTAGAATGTCACATTTAGAAAAAGTACACTAGTAAAAAAAAATTAATTTTTTTAGAGTGTCACATCATACTCGTCACATTGGAGTGTCACATGTCACGTTTGAAAAAAGTATACTAAAAAGTTTTTAATTTTTTTTAGAGTATTACATCATACTTGTCATGTTGTCACGTTTGAGAAAAGTACACTAAGGAATTTTTATTTTTTTGAAATGTCATATCATACTCGTTACGTTGTCACATTTAAGAAAAGTATACTAAGCAGTTTTTATTTTTTTTAAACTGTACATTATACCCGCCACGTTATCACGTTTGAGAAAAGTACACTAAGAAATTTTTAATTTTTTTAGAGTGTCATATCATACTCGCCACACATTGTCACGTTTGAGAAAAGTATACTAAATTTTTTTTAAGTGTCACATTATACCCGCCACGTTGTCATGTTCGAAAAAAATACATTAAAGAGTTTTTATTTTTTTTAAAGTGTCACATCATATCCATTACATTGTCACGTTTGAGAAAAATATAATAAATAGTTTTTATTTTTTTTAAATTGTCACATCATACCCGCCACGTTATTACATTTGAGAAAAGTACGCTAAAGAGTTTTTATTTTATTTTTTTGAAGTAAAATTTTTGGAATGTCATATCATATCTATCACGTTGTCACATTTTTTAAAAAATACACTAAAGAATTTTTAATTTTTTTTAGACTGTTACATCGTTGAAGTGTCACATTCATACTTATCACTTTGAAATATCACATCATACCTATCATATTAATAAAAGGGTATAGTTATCCACACAAATATTATCAAAATAAAAAAATAAAATCATGCGGAAAGAAAATCTCCACTAATAAGACTTAACATATCAAGAAAAAAAAATTGAAACTAATTAAAATATTTGTTTGTAAGATAAAATTTGTTAATAAATATCCCTTAAAATTATATGACAAATAATAATATTTACAGAAACATGAGGCCATGCGCTTCATAATCTTTTCTTAATTCCGTGAGATTCATAGCTGAGGTGATCTAGTGAGCTAGAGCTCATTGAGCCTCCGTTTGGAAAGTAGATTGGTTTTTTTGACTTTTTTAACTATTTTAGCATGGGTTAAAAAATTTGGTTTAGAAATTTTTTTTTGACTTTTTAAACTTTTTTTGTAAGAGAATAATGTAATAATTATAGATTAGATATGATGTTTTATTTATTGTGGCTAAAATAACTTATTTTATTTTTTGTGACTATTTTAACCACAAACCAATTTATCAAACAACACCTCAGCGATGATATGAAAAAGCTCGATCGCGATTGGTAGCTCGAGATTTTTGGCTCGAAATTGACTCGAAAAAGTGAGAGAGAAGGAGGGAGAGGCTGGAGGAGGGGCGGAGGAGGAGGAGGGACTGGAGGGGGCCAACATATCGGGGTGGAGGCGGAGGCAGGGGGCGAAGGCGGAGGCAGAGGCGGAGCTGTGACGAGCGGGGCTGCTGCGACGAGCTGGAGCTGATGCGACGAGCGACGGAGGGTGACGATCGGGCGAAGGCGACGGCGGGCGGAGGGCGACGGCGGGCTCCTCCTCTTCCCCTCTCTTCTCTTTCTCTCCTATCTCATTCCAGGGATCAACCTTCCTTCTCTCTTTCTCTCTCTCTCTCTCTCTCCCTTTCCCTCTCCCTCTCCTCTTCCTCTGTTTCAAACCAGCATGATGAAGAAGAAGAAAAAAAAAAAAATGACAACCCAAAACGACGTCGTTTTGGACTGTCGAGCCAAAATCGAGTCACGAATTTCGAGCTACCAGTCATTTTCGGAAAAAGCTTTTGACACATAATACGTAGACATGTGTCGAATTACCTAGTGAGTCAAAGCATGTAATCAGTTGTTCTGTCGACCCTCGGCACAATTTTACAGTTTCGAATGAAAGTGAAAGGAAAGTTTTATTCACATCATATAGAAAATCTTAGTACATATTATTTGTAAGAGAAATGATTAGGTGTTTTAATAAAAGAGCTTTAATAAATTTTAATGGGAATACGTATTATAGTATATTTGTTTAGACGGATTGAATAAAGAAAAATTGGAATCTATTGAATTATAATTTTAGAATTCATAGTCTTTAAATCATTTGATTGGATAGAATATATATTCCATATTTATTTAGTCATGAGATTAAATATTAAGAAATGATTATTTGGTTAGATAGGACATAATCTTATATTTGTTTGGAATAAGGGTGAAAGAATAATCGGAAGGACTGACCGAACCGACCAAACCGACCGAACCGAACGGTTTTCAGTCGGTGTTTTAAGTTTTCAAGTGTTCAGTTCGGTTTGGTTTTTGCTTTTCTGCACATTCGGTTCGGTTTTCGGTTTTTGATTTTTTTAACCAAACCGCACCGAACCGAACCGACTTATATAATATTAATAAGCCCAAAATGTGAGGCCCCAAACATATGTAGGAATTACATGGCCTGAGCCCAAATTTTATGCAAAATGAATTGAAATATAGGCCCAAAATGTGAGGCCCAACTAGGAAAAAAAAAGGCTAAAAAACCGAAAAATTGAAAAAATCACACCGCACCGTAATAAACCGAGCCGCGCCGGTTTATGTCATTTTTCTGGGCGGTTCGGTTTACAAATATAAAAAACCGAAATGATCGGTTCGGTGCAAAAATGGTGAAAAAACCGACCGAACCGAACCGATTTCACCCCTAGTTTGGAATATTATGGAGAAAGATAGATGCTCAAATGACTAATTTACTTTTTTCAATTATTTATTAAGTAATAGCAATATTAAACATATTTTTAATATTTTAATTATTTTTAGCCAGATTAAATAAAATTTTATTTTATTTTATTTTTTACACAATTAAATAATTTTTTTAAAAATTAAATAAATAAAATATCAATAAAAATATGTGCTATTTTTTAATTAAATTTTTAAATAAATTTATTTTAAAAAATAATAATTGTTAAGTAATGAAATTAAATAAAATATCAACAAAATTTTAAAATAAAATATCTATAAAAAATTATCTTAAAAAATAAATAAATAAAACATCAATAAAAATGAAATAAAATTATTTTATTTTTAAATTGAGACTACTTTATTAAGTATAATTAATACCGTGAGAAAAAAGATATTTAGCTTATGTTTGGATTGAGTGATTTGGAGATAAAAGAAAAGAAACTGAGAGATATGTATTTCTCTTATTTGTTTGGATAACTTAAGTAGAAAGAAACAGAAAAAAACTCATTTCTCTTATAACCTCATTTTCAATATTCCCAAAAGTGGAGAGATTTGGAGAGAAAAGAAACCAATATTTTCATAATACCATTTTTGTCCCTGTAAAAATAAAAGAAATAAAATGATTGAACATATAAAAAGGTTATTTTGGTAATATAATATAAAATAATTTTTTTTCTTTTCTCTTATCAAATCTAACCAAATAAGAAGGAGAGAAATCACAATCATTTCTTTTCTTTTATTTCTTACTTATCCAAACAAGAAGGAGATAAATTACAATCATTTCTTTTCTTTTCTTTTCTCTTATAACTTAAGTAATCATTTCATTTCTTTTCTCTCTTAGGTTCCCAAACATAGTGTTAATACTAGAGGGTCAACAATGTAATTTGGCAACCTAATCTCATGGGATGAGTAATCTCATTATTTGTGTCCCATCCCCCCATGAGATACAACAGTCCAACAGATTTGGGATTAATAGTCCAGATAGACTATTAGTCTAGTGCAAAAAAATTGAAACAAACAACGGACTATTAGTCCAATCCCACCCTTCAATTCCACCAAACAAACATATTGTACAGTGATAGTGATATTTGCGTCTTGTTTGTTTTTTGTTTTTTTTTTTTGTGTTTTTGTGTGTGTGTGTGTGT